AGATAAGATTAAAGAGAGTCGCCTTAGATGGTTTGGTCACATAAAACGGCGGCCTTCCAATGACCCGGTTAGGAGAGTAGATGTATTAGATTTGACTTATGTTAATAAAGGTAGAGGCAGTCCTAAAAATACTTGGTTAGAAAATATTAGGAATGACCTTTCTTTATTAGATTTAAACGAGAATTTGACCTTTAATAGGATACAATTGAGAAAAAAGATTCATGTAGCCGACCCCACATAGTGGGATAAAGGCTTGATGTTGTTGTTGTTTGTTTTTCATGCTTATAAGTTTATATTCATTTTTTTTAATTAATGCTTATGAACTTTTCCTATATGGGATTCTTCATATTTTGTGGTTTTCATCTAAAGGACGAATAGTTGTGATGTAATACATGCATGGCATTACAAGAGATTAACAAGAGAATTTATTAAAAGCTAACCATCAAAAAGTTATGCATCAAATCAAAGTAAGTTGTTAAAATTTGCAGTCTTCCACCTGCTTAGGCAATGAAATATATGAAGATTGACCAAGACACTTTCAATCAAATACAAAGGCGAACGTAATGTAATAGCTTATAACACAAATCCAAAATTTAATATTGAAATGTTCACCTTGAGGATTTACTCTCTCTCTATGGTTCTAGGCTTAGCGGAGGAAGGTCTTCCACACCAGAAGTGAGGTGACCACTTGGAAGGAAGAGTCGAGGAGCTTGGTTATTGGGAAGGTAGCCGGAGGTGGAGGAGGCAAGGATCGTCCGATGAGGACCCACGGGGTTCTTGGTCGTTGAAGCTCGATAGTCTCGGCAAGACAATAAACGATGCGGTTGACTTAGCGTTCCACTGTGCCGTCGTACTCCCAATCTAGCTCGTAGAAGGGAGAGAGTAGGATGTTGATCTTGCCTTGGGCGTTGTAAGCAAAGCTGTGATCAATGGCCGGATCCGCCATTCATGATCATGTGAAGACTTTGTGTGTAGTGGGAAGTAGGGGTGGAGGAGCGGCTACCTAAGAGAGGCGGCCAAGAAGGGGAGGGGACGGTGGGGGTTTCGGGTGGATTAGGGAAAAGAAGGAGGGGGGTGGCTAGGTCTAGTTAGGGTTTGAAGAAATTAAGAGAAAACTGAAATTAATTTCAATTTAAGGGGAATCAGAAGGAAAATATTTGAGTTTGAAATTTCAAATTCCAAGTGGGGATGTGATGCATTTAGATTTTTGCATTATTTTGTTTTGAACAATGTTAGTTATATTTTCTATTTTTTGTTTTATTTTTTTAAGCTATCCTATGATGGAAGGCATCTAATGATCATGGTAGGAATAAGTTTGGGTTATGCTTACCTTGGGTTTGCTGGTTTTTGGATCCATCTTGTCCTTTGGGCTGTTTCCTGGTTTCGGGTGGGCCTTGGCTGTTTTCGGTTTGGACTTTGGTTGTTGGAATTCTTGTGGTGCCAGGTCATTAATGTCAAGTGGGGGTTTAGCTCATTATGAGCTGTTGTTTAGTTTTGAAATTTAAATTGAGGAGAGCACATTTAGGTGGGTGGAACTTGCCCTTTACTCTCCCTTTTGTCTCTTGGTTTCCACGGGCTGTTTGTTGTAATTTCTGGGTGGCTTTTGGTTTGCTGCTGCGGTTTCCACCCATGGTCGTGTTGACTCCTCGGTTTTCTCCCTGATTGCTATCTCGTGGTCCCCCTTTTCCAGATTTTTGTATTGGCTCTTCGGGTCCCATGCTGCTGCTTTCCTGTGGATGCTGGGGGCTTTTTCCATGGATTTGGTGCTCTGTTTCATGTGCAGTTTTTGGGACTGCTGTGTGGTGGCTGTTGGCCTTTCATTTTCCTCATTTAATTAAGTATTTGAAGAGATTTTGGGGGTGTTTGGTTTCCCCTCTCTTGCCTATAAATATAAGATATTTTGAGATGGAAAAGGTTGGTTGATTATTGAGAGCAAAGTTGCTAAAACCTGAGGGTTCTTCTTGGAAAAGATTGAGAGCTTGTTCCATTCTCCTTCTCCTCTAGGAAAGCTTGCGAGCTTTTCCTCATTCATCTCGGGCTTCTAACCTCTTTCTTCTCTACGCAAGTTCCACTCCACCTGTATCTTTCTTCTGGTTCCGTTGGTAAGATTTGTTGGCTGTTTTGGAGGCATTTGCTGGAGGAGTTTTGGTAGGACGTTGGACCCTTTTGCAGTGGTGGACCCTCGGTTTGCATGCCTAAGCATTATTTTGAAATATAGTCCTACTTTCGTTACATGTGAGGAGTCCTCTTGTAGGATGTTCTGAGGATAGTGTTTGTTTGGTTTTATGTTGTTTCTTTTGCTAACTTTCTTTTGTTTGGGTTTGTTGGATGATTGGGTTTTTCTAATCTGAATTTAGTTGTTTTAACTAGTCTATTTTGTTCTCCAAGTGGTGTCTTAAATTTCTAAAAGTGAGTCTTGATTCTCTTTTAAATTTGTTGTTCTCTCTTTGTGTTTTACTTCAAGTTGCATACATCAGGATGGGGGAAATTAAGAGGGGAAATCAATTTGGATTCCCCCTATGGCCGGCGGCATTAAGAGAGGGAGAGGGGTTGGGTAAGGGAGTTAAGGGTTTCCTAATTTGTCTTAGCTATTTAGGGATGACGATTTGAAATCCGATTCAATTTAAATTTAAATTGAATCTCATTTAAAACTTTCCTAATTTGGCTTTTGTCAAATTTGGAAACTTTGGAATTCAATCAATTTGAATTTCAAATTTTGAAAACAATTGGGGGAAAGGGGAGGGGCCGGCGGTTGAGGATGAGGAAAGGGTGGTGGAGGAGGGGAGGCCTGCGGCTAGGGATTTGGCAGGCGGGTTGGATCCCCTAGGTGGCCGGCGTGATGATGTAAGGGGTCTCGGGTTGAGGGGGAAAACAAGTTGGGGATTTGGGATTAGGTGAGGCCGACGGGTGCTTGGCTTGGAGAGGATGTGGGTGTGTAGGGGAAGAAGAAGAAATCGGGGCCGCGAATCTCGGAATCCACCGACGGTTGACGGATCTTGCTCTCACCCTCCTTGGGCTTCTCCTCTCATGAACTCACTAAGAGATCAAAGAAGAACATAAAATTTCATTCAAAATAATTTATCATCCGATACAATAGAGGAGGCCCTAATATATAGGCCTAAGGAAACAAAAAGTACGGTGACTCAAATGCCCATGGGGTTACAACTCAAGACAACTAAAAGAAAGGGTACAATCATAAATAGCAATTAATGCATAACATCAAAATAAAACTAAGCATCAAAATAAAGGCTATGGATCGTGGCCATCGATCTGCGCCTCCTGCGCTGATATACTCGTCGAAAACGCATGTCGATGTCCTCATCAAGTTGTCTGAATAAAGGGTTTTTGAATTGAGTATTTGAATGTGTGTGCTTGTGATTTTAAGCATCCCATTGTTTATTTGCATTAGAAAATTTAGATATGAAGATGTCCTACATCATCTTTTAGTAAATGGCTTGCTTATACTGTTATTTTTCTTCAGTTCTGTTCTTTTTTAAAAAGAGCTGTATGGTGTTTATCAAATATTTTACTATCCTATCCATTTCATTTTTTTAAGCAATTAGGGCTTATTAACATATGCTTGATAGGATATTTCTTATAGCTCTTTAAAATTGCTTTCCACTGATTGAGTTTTTCTATCATCTTATAACAGAGTCTAGACATTTTAGTAATATTTTGCCATCACTTTCAGGGCTTTAAGGGTTTTGTCCAGGGATATTGATCCCATACCTAAAGATATCCTTGAGGAGTTCAATTTGCCAAATCTTTTTGACGTAAGTTTTCTTTATTCGTTATTTTAAAGATCACAATCTTGGATGAAGCTCTGTGATACTTGTTTTTAGCCTCGTGTAGTTCCCCTTGCAAAATACTGTCCCGTACATAATGTTATCCATGAGTAGTTCAGTTTGAGAAACCTTCTTGGAAGTCTTTTATGACGCTAGTTGATATTTTTTGATAGCGTTATGTATGTTCCCATTGCAAACTTTCTTAGGTTTCAAGTAGGAGGGAGAAATGGATGATCGGAGGCTTATATTTACATTGCTAGTGGTATCTAAAGCTCGAGTGGAGGATTCCTCCTTGGAGCACTGGTGCAATCTTATGTTTTTTATTACATTCATTATATTGTTTTTAAATTTTGGCAGCTAAGATTTGGAGTTTCATCTTCCTCCCTTTTTTATATATATATTTCATCTTTGGGCAGAACAAGTCACTCTTTCATCAAATATTGACACTCACAAAGATGTACTTTCTCAAACTCACTTTTCATTAAGGGTTAGGAATAGGACATATATAAAAAGTTACTCATACCTGAGTGAGTGCATACGTTTAACAGTGAATAAATTGTTTCATCATTCATTCATAATGAACATGGTAAATGGATTCATTACACAAAATAAAGGCCACCCTTTATTGTAAAAGGATAAGCAAATACATAAAATTTACAAAATATATAAGTTCATCCTTCATTGTAAATATATGACATGTACATCCAATTCACAAAAGCACAAGAGACAAGAAAAAGCAAGGAAAATAAAGTTAAGAGTTTATATATAAAGGACATAGGATGGACGCATCTACCAAGCCCAATTTTAGAATCCTCTCTTTGCAAAGCCTAAAATTTTCTTCTCCATGCATCAAGATTGGTTTATAAGCAAGGCTTTCAATATAAGTATCGGTGAAGTCCTTATTGGTGTAGATGGTCTAAAGCTCTATTCTTAAGATCAAAAACTCTAATCTTAAGCTTCTTTCATTTCCTTTAAGGGAGCTTCTGGAGGTTGAGTTACCTCTATGCTTTTTCTCATAATGTCATGAAGTACTTTTGTAGATTAGCATAAGGTCTCATATCACTCAGCTTAAAAATAATTAGCCCGATAAATGTAGCAGAGATGATTAAGTATAGACCTATTAAGGGAAGTTGGATTGTTAGCACGATGACCTTGCTAATATTATCTGAGTAATTGCTCGGCTTTGGCTTAACAAAAGAAAGATCATGCAGACCTTTTAGAAATGTGAAAATACTCATTCCATTGAAAGGTTAGAACTTCAGGTTGAGTCAAGAACTCAAGGCACTTGGAAGTACTCTCTCGGACATTGACCAACTTTAGATAGGTGTTATGATACGATTTGACTTAAGAGAATAAGCTTATTGGTTGGATCACTTAGGATCCTTAACCACCAATTTTTGTTGCCTCTCCAGGTCCTTTTTAATTTTGGCAGTTCAAGGCTAAATAGATGACACGATGTGTTAACACAACTTGAATACGAGGAAGTGAATCCTCCTGGTTGGCACTAGGCACTTTGCTATTACTAGGGACTAGAAAATAATCTGTATTTAAGGAATGGAGCTCAAGATGAAGATTATATTAAAATTTAGCAATTAGTATCAAACTCGAGAGATTGTCCACTGAAACTTGAAAAGAAAAAATGATTAGTGGCATTAATCTTTTCCATAAGCTTTTTCCTCTAGTATAGCAGTTGTCAAAATGTTAATAGAGGCGTTGCCTGATGTAATGCATATCAACTAATCTCAGCGAAGAAGAAACATCTCTTCCACCTAGGGCTGCAAATGAGTCGAGCCGAGCCGAGTATGTGCGCGTTCATGTTTTAGTTCGTTTATTATCAGCTTGTTCGAGTTCGGTTTGAGTTTAATTCGAGCTTTTTTGTTTGTGTTTAAGCTTGATTCGTTTAAATTAATGGGTGTTCATGTTTGGTTCATATTTGATTCATGTTCGGTTTGTTTCGTGCTTAGTGAGTTTTAAACAAACAAGCATTATTGACCTATAAACGAGCTCTACTTTTAGATATTCATTAACTTAATAAATAAGCCTTATCGAGCCTTCTAACAAACAATTACAACGGGCTTGTTCGTGAACATACCTAACAAAGTTTTTTAAACTATCAAACATGCTCGTTCACGAACATATCTAATTGGTATTCTTGAGTTTTCAAATGAGCAAATTTATGAACATATCTAATTAGTATTTTCGAGGTACCAAATGAGCTCATTCACGAACAAACGATCTATGATTCATCTTATATTTTTTCATGAAGATTTTAAACAAACAATCTAGCATACATGAACAAATGTCTCTTGCTCATGAAATTTATAAAATTTATTAATTAACAATTGTTATATCATTATGTTATAATAAATATAAAATATTTATTTTATGTATGTTTATCAATTTTATAATCAAATATTAATTGAGTTTTTAACGAGCTTTTTCATGAGTTCTGAATAGGACATGAATCGAGCTTTTATCGAGCTGAATGATTAGCTTGTTCACGATCTTTAAATGATGATGTTCATAAACATAAATGAGTTGAACTACATGCTTGTTTATTTAATAATCGAGTATTTAAAAAAATGTTCAAGTTTGTTTGTTTAGTTAATTAAACGATCACGAATGTGTACCGAGCAACGATTAGCTCGTCGAAAGCTTAGTTCACTTGCAGCCTCTGCTTCCACCTTTAATGTGAAGTTTGAAGATGGGGTTGGCCTCATATGATTGATAGTAGATTGGACCAATTGACCTTATGTGAGAAAATTAAACAGAAAAATAGTTTGTTTGACCATAAAATATTACTGCTTCTACAACTGTTGTGAAAAGGCAATAGCCATCAAGATTGATTTCTACATGATTTGTGTAGGGAAAGAAAAATGCTTGATGACATCTACCATTGGCTTTTTGAAGAGGTGAACCAAATTCACATTTAAAATGATCAGTGTGCAAGTAAATTTCTCTCTTGCAAAAGATATTCGATAAATTGAGATTTGTGTAAACTTTAAAAATAAAATTAGTGGGAGCCATGCATAGGGTTCTTATTTTAATTGATAACTTCATCCTTTAGAAAAGAGCTGTTCATTCTGACTTTCAAAATTGATGTAGTATCTATGATGCACCGACACTTCTCCTCAAAGAGGCGTGCAGTGTCCGTCATCGTGTTCGACACGACACTCGTCTGACACTCATCCGACACGTGTCGGACACGCCAAAAACGTGTCTGATTAAAAAATATTAAATGCAAATTTGACACACGTGTCCGACACGGGTATCTTAAATATTTAATGAATTTTTTTAAAGATAATTTCTTGTATTTTGCGGGATTTAAACTAAATTTCTTATTTCCTATCCACAACACCAAATCAACGTCCGCACTTAATACTCAATCATCAAATATTATCTTTTTCATTTCTTTTTGGCAGTGAATGTATTTTCATCTCCTCTCTCGATGACTGATAAAGGACATCGACACCTGTCTCTCGATGCCTGAAATATTAATTGTTGTTTTTTGAAACTTACCAAAAAAAAGCTAATGTACATGCTCGGTACCGTTAGGTATCGCTAGGTACATGTTCGGTACTGCTAGGTACCGCTCAGTACATGCTTGGTACCGCTAGGTACAAGCTCGGTACCGCTCGGTACATGCTCGGTACCGCTCGGTATCTTTCCATACAAATAACTTACGAACTTTAAAAACAAGCATAACTTCAAAATTACTCTTACCCTGGCAGGTCGAATCCCGCCAAGGGGTAGCTAAATGGTTTTTTGCTTATATTTTTGTGGTTGTACTAGATATTTTGTACTAAACATCTTTATGCTATAAGTTAAACAAATTATCATGAAATTGATTTATTATTGCTTGTTATTTTTAATATAATGTCACCTTAATTTATATATATTATATTAAAAATTATTATGCCGTGTCCACGCCGCACCCGTGTCTTGTATTTTTAAAAAATGCCGTGTCCCGTGTCCGTGTCGTGTCGTGTCCTTGTTGACGTGTCTGTGTCAGTGCATCATAGTGTAGTATACTTGGGCAGCTAATCTTTCATTATTGTAGGATCCATTGAAGTGCTTGATGAGTAGAAAACGGCCTAAAATCTTAATGCCAAATATAAAAGCTAATGAAGGAAGACGAAGGTTCCGTTTTGTAATTGCCTTTTATAGGTTAAAAGATAGGAAGCCCTAAAACTTCAGCACAAAAGGCAACAAATTGGAGAAGTAATCGTTAAACATCATACGACACTTCAACTATCATTAGTCAGTCTTCAAAGATAGAAAATAAGACAATTCTTCTTTAAACTGTCTTTTCAAATATATAAGTTTAACAAAATAAAAATTACATTCATCCTCGTTGATGGGGACATCAGAGCATGGAAGGTTTATCATAGGCGTGGTCGCCGATCTATGGCCACGAACGAGTCATTGTATTTTTGATTCATTTTTGTTGTCATGTTTTTTTCTTATTTATGTATTTTCTTATTTGTCAGTGTCGTGTATTTGTTTTATGAGATTTTCAGTTGTACCCTTTTAGTGAGGGATGTCGTATGTATGCCCCGAGGGCATTTTCGTCTTTTATTTATTGAGTCTCATGTACTAGGCTATTTATAGCCCCTTGTTTTATTTTTTTAAGTAATGAATGAATGATTAAAAAAATTTGCTTCCTTGCATAAGTTCTTGTGAGAGCTTGAGAGTTTGAGTGGAGAGAAATCCCTAGGAGAGGGAGATCGGATCACCCACCAACCTTGGAGACGGTCGGGTTCATGGTTTTCTTCCTTATCTTTCTCCCTTTCTCCTTCCACCACCACTACCAGGCATAAATACAGCCGAACCATCTCCAACTCCAAGCCATTGTCTCCTCCTAACTGAGCTCCACAAATTTTCCCCCGCAAGCCGCCGGCCACCTTACCCGAAATCCCTTCCAACCGCCGGCCCTAGCTCCCTAGCCGCCAGCCTCACCCTTCCCCCTTCCTTCTTGGGTTTTCTAA